GAACACCTGCAGAAGAGTATTCTGGCGTACAAAAAATACCGGTTCGGCACACGGACCCTCGTATGCAAAAACTTTGATGTCGACTGCAAGGAACACACTTTTCAAGACAAATGTTGCTGCAGTAAACCCGCAGGCAGGAAATCCACATCTACACCTGGCTCCAGTTATTAACCCGTCGGACATCAGCACAGAGGACTTCAAAATCAAACAGGAGGAAGACAGCAGCCTGCAGAAATGCTTCGAAGCCGTTCACAAAGAGGTCAAGAGAAGGTTTGCTAAAATACTGCTCTTTATGAAGGACAGAATCCTCTATCGCAAGTACACCCTTCATTCTAAGAGGCAGGTGAATCAGCTTGTGGTTCGAAGGTGCCTCCGACTTTTAGTGATAAAAATGACCCACGAAGGCATCCTTCCGTGCCATCAGGGAGTAGATAGAACCACAGACCGGGTACACGAAGACTTCTACTGGCCAGGGGTTGAGTCAGACATCACACGATTTGTTAAATCGTGTGATATATGCCAAAGAACTACTCCCGAGCACTTGGTGGGTCGTGTAACATTCGGCGACACTATTATACTTGACACCCCGTTCAAGAGAGTAGCCATTGATACCATGGGCTCATTATTACCGATGTCAGAGTGCGGAAACAAATATGTACTGACAATGGCGGACATGACAACGCATTATCCCGAATGCTGTAGCACTGCCTCGCATCGAGATGGAGAAAGTCGCTGAGGCGCTTCTGAAGATGTTTTATCGTGTAATGTTTCACAGGAGATAATTAGCGACAGAGGCACGTCAATTTCGTCACGCCTAATGAGGGAGCTAAGCCGACTTCTCCCCTTCAAACAACTGCCAACAACTCCATGTCATCCCATGACTAATTGCCTTGTAGAGAGGTTCAACGGCACCCTGAAACGAATAATAAGAAAAATGTGTCAGGAGAGTCTGAAGAAATTGGACCGGTACCTGGCGCCCTTACTCTTCGCTTATCGCGAAGTTCCCCAGTCGAGCTTAGGCTTCTCCCCGTTCCAGTTGCTCTACGACCGTTACGTCAGAGGCCCTTTGGCTATACTGAAAGAATTAGGGGCCGCTGATCCTCTTGATGTTGATGTAAAAACATCCTACGGGTACGTAGTCGAACTGCGGAATCGTCTTGAAGACACCTGCCAATTAGCCAAGGAGAAGGTTCAAAAAGCGAAGATAGTACAGAAGGAGCTTTATGACCGAAAAAACCAGACCACGTCGGTTATCCCCGGTAGACAAGGTTTTGCTACTGCTTCTATCGGATACCAACAAATTGGTTCTGACGTGGAAAGAACACTTTAATGTTCTTGAGAGGCGAAATGATGTCGATTATTTAAATGACTTCGGTACCAGAAGCACGCTAATTCGTATAAACCTACTGAAAAAGTATGAGGAATGGTCGCCTGCACCATCGCATGAACCTATCAGCTGTTTTCCAGGCAGGATAACACCGAAAGCGACGAGCTACTATGCGTTCCACTACAACGAAAGGAATACTGCACCCAGTGTCATATGCAAGCCGTAGACTGCAACCATGCGAAGCTACTTACTCTTCAGTGAAGCGAGCTGCCCTGGCTCTTACGTGCGTGGTCCGGAAATTTCATATCTACCTATTCGGACGCACATTCATTCTACAGAGTGACCACAAGCCGCTTGTATACATCAAGTTGGTCAAGCATGTGAACAGCCGCGTGCTACGTTGGAGCCTTATTCTTATGGTATACGACTTTTCGGTCGAGTATATAAAATGCATTGGCAATGTAGACGCAGATTCCATGAGCCATTTGCCAAGCCCATGAGCAACGTCTGCATAAAGAATCGATGCCCAGTGGTATGAATGGTTTGTGATGTGAACCTTACAGCGCGATACAAGTAGCACAACGCTTTAGTTGTGGACTTGTTTCTGTTTTTTTCTGGTGCGAATATTGGAGGTTGATTGAGCCGAGTGTGCCGGGCTAGGAACTGCTATAATTTGTAGTAATGCTTACGTGTGTGTTTTCTTCTGCGAACCAACGTGTCAATAGTGCCCTCAAGTTCTTCTACCTAAAGAACTTTTTTAAGTGGGGGATGACGTGGTGTAGTACATCGGAAAATGCGAGCATAGCAGACGACAGTGCCATATCACCTGGAAGATAACAAGAATGAAGGGGCATTGAAGCGTGCTCAAAAAAGAAAAAAGAGAAGGTGCTCGCGCAGAACGAAGCTGTTCGGACGCCGACATGATGACGCAAGGCAGCCTAGGGCGAACCCGCAACTACTCGCGAAGTTCGAAAGGCCGTGTGCCTGTCCTCAAGCCAGTGACGTCCTCGGGGCAGGCCGTGTCGGCGTGGCCAGGTATGAATTCTGGATGAGTAGTACTGCGGACATCTTTAGTACGGTGAGCGCCTTCGAAAGACCGGAGCTTCCGACCAGGTCCAGCAAGCTGACGTCGCTGGCAGTGTGCGGCTACGCCTAGGCCTGGCGATGCCCTCTAAAGAGGGATGCTGACCTGGCACCCAAGCGATAACTCTAGCCGAGCACGCAACTAGTCCCACTTCAAGGCACCTGGCTACTGCTCAGACTGTGAGACTATTTATTTTTTGTGTCTGAACCACGTGCGTGTACGACGACTACTACTGTATTTGCAATAGTTTCTTTTTTTTCTCGTACAATATAACCTAATTTGTTTTCCTCACTGTCTCCATCTTCCTCGCCTCACACGCTTTGCTGCGTGACGAACCTAACCACGACACTCTCCTTCAACAACAACAAAAAGATGCGGTCTCATTTCTTTGGCATCCTACTATGTACTTTTGAGTTACAAATGACTACAACATTAAGGCGCACATTGATACGTCAAGCGCAATCAGAAATACGCATGGTACAGTAGTGCGTCGGCATCGATCACTATTGCTAACATTGCCGGTGAGTTGAGTTTACGTAAGGCAATGCAGAACGTTTGCAAACATACGTTCAGTGTATACCATACTCAAACTGGTGAGTGCATGCTCTTTCTTGCCTTGTATAAAGTTGGCCGCTTGTACCTCGACAGCTTGGCGCAACCCACACACGGGGATAGGCGATGGATCGGACGGTGCCTTTCTTAATAAAATAATTCACTTCTTGAAGGAAAGAGTGCTGTTGATTAGGAATAACAGGTAATAATAAACTTCAAGAATTTAGAAGAGGACTTTCAAAAAGCTGACATAAGAAAAAAAACAAACTCCTTTACCAAAAAGAGCTGAAATAAGCAGCGTTTACCATTCCAGTCTTTTGGACTCTTGTAAAAAATTTGTAACAGCATTGAAAATGCTCCTTTGGGTAAAACTAAGTATGATTGAGCCAAATGAAAGAATCACCGGAAGTAACAAGATTAAGTCCAACTTTCGAAGGGTTGCTTTTATTATAGCGTTTTGACTTTTAAATCTTCGGTACGTCAAAAACAACTGTTCCAAAGATTCACTTTAAGGTGTCCGCCGCACAGACGGGAGTTCACTGCTGGTACCCACGGCGATACATCCGCGTTTAAGTGACGTAATGCCTTAATTCACTTGACCTTTCTCGCTCGGTGCAAAGAAGCCACCGAAAATCTTAAGACGCCCATTTCTATGTGCCTGCTCCTGTTTTTCTCGTTGCGACCGACAACACAGCGGTGCGGTGTTGTTCAGCAAGCACAAACTCGCATACGCGTTGAAACTGCACAGAGCACTGAGGGACTATGCGGCGTGGCCTGGTAGCCACCAAGACTCATAGTGTCAGTATACCCTACCTATCACACTTTGCGCTGGCACGCATCCTCAGAAGGGGTACCCGGAAAAGCAACATCGGCAATAAAACCACACACGCTATCGAAACGTCTCCAAGAGATGGTGTGACTACGATGAAGTACGGTCTCTTTCGAAGGCAGCGACAGCAAGAGTAGAACATAAAAGTCTAATCTGTCCGTGTTCGTACCGCCTCCTCAATGGCTAGCTGGCCTTCGCTTCTAGGTTAAGAATTCAACCATATCGCATGGAATGCCGAAGTGCGGCACGGTTAAGCTCACACCTTCATTGCGATAGCATTTATAAGTACAGTCTGGCTAGTTTGTTGCCGTCGCCACCACCGTCATTCACCGTATATGTATACGTATTCATGGAAATGAAAACTCAAGAAAGAAAAAAAAGCTATCTGTGCTCGGCGCGCAGCTCGTCACAAGGCGCCGACGCGCGCTTATCTCTCACGCGTACTATGCCTCATGAAAGTAGGAGCGGGGGGAGGGTGGTGCGGGGGGAGTTAGATGCTCGTGCGAGCGCGGTTATCCTTCACTAGAAAAAATTCCATGCCTTCGTCTTTCACCGGAAAGACTGCGCTAGTTTCCCGGCTCACAAAGCCTGCTTCGCTCGCTGCATAGGCCACGTTTGCGAAAAAAGCGCGCTTTTCATACACAGTGAAGTATAACTGGGACAATTGTTAGTTTGCACTCATTTGTACCTGTGATTACGTTTTGTGCATTGTTTTTTTGTTTAAACAACGTGTGAAGTTTGCAGCGGTTCATGTTTTTAGTTCGCTTCAGTTTTGTGTATGTTGTTTTCGGGCGTTATTTTTGCGTGAGCAGCGCCATGCATGTTTTGATCTCCTTACCGTTCTCAGCGTTACATTTTAGGTTGTTGGTGCCGCATTCTTCGCTTCAACCTTGGGGTGAAGCTGTCATGCTTTTTTCATAACATACACTTTGAATTTTTGCTGTCAGCCAACGCTGCTTTTTTTCTCACTATCAAAGATGGTACCCGGTACCGTACACGGCGTAAAACTGCGCAACGAGTGCATTGTCGCTTTCGCGTTAAAATTGCTCCACAGAATTTGATAATTGTAGGGTTTAATACTCACATTCATTCGTGCATTCCTTTTCAAGCTGGCTGGCTGTACTCAACTATAGAGAGTGTTTTAGGATTGCGAATAATATTCTTGAAACAATACTTGGGATTTGAATGCGCTACTTTTTTATTTTCAGCTTATTATTCTCCTTCTAAGGACGAGTGCGTGAAGTGTACTTGCAAATACGCCGAGGAGAGCCTATGCGAATGGAATGATGAAACAAACTGTTACTGTGTCCATGGCTGCTACAGAGATGGCGTCCACGGCAACCTCTTATCGATTAGGGAGTGCTTTCCTATACTGAATGACTACGATTAACATTTGTTCTTGCACCTAAGCGTAATGCATTGAAATATTACTATACTTTAGAAGGTTGGACGTTCCATTGAAGAATAAAAAGACGTACCACACAAGATGACATGAGGCATAAATAGTTTCCTTTCAAAAGTTCTGTCTGCTTAGATAGGAATTGCCTATGTTAGTGTGGGTCGAAAAAATAGCAGATCGATAGAACTATCGATTGCTTCCGTATGGCATTCCTCAATAAAGACGATAGTCTTTCTTGGGAACCTTCAACGCAAAAAAACTTGGTCTGTCTATCTGTCTGCACATTTGTCTGATTGTCTACGCTCAAAGGTACCGGGTACTCAGAACGGACCAGCTGATACACCAAACGGTCAACCCCATCCGCAGCATCCAACAAGGTTGCTCAAGATTTAGCGTCCACACTTGTGCGAATGTCAATCAAAAAGCATTAGTGCGCATATCTGAGGCACCATAACAACACGTATATATTCCGCAGGTGCATCTTTTACTAGAAGAGGCATACATAAGAGATTCTAAAGACCGTAGCGTTCATCACGCTGCGCTCACAATACAACGCTTGCATGAAAAGGTGATTGTTTTCAACGCTTTCCTAAGACGAAACGAAGGTGGCACCTACCCGTCGCCTCGCGTTCTACACCCATGCCCGTCTCAGAAGCATGTGCTACGTTTTCCAAGAAAAGTGCCAAATACCGTTCATATCTCATGTGTGACGTGAATTGATGCGCTCGTTCGCCTCCACAGCTTGCTAAAGGCACTCTATTGCAGCGCCTCTAAAATACCATTCATCAATTTCTTGCACAGAACATCAAATAAATGTTTTGTTCACTCTCTCCCCACGCAAGACTATCGTCTTTCGACGACATTCGCAGATAACATGCACATACGGGGCCAATTTTTGTTACGCTGGTTTTTGGGATGTAAAAATCAAATTATTATTATTATTATTTATAATACTATTATTATTATTATTATTATTATTATTATTATTATTATTATTATTATATTATTATTAGGAGGTAAAGATGTGAGGCTTTTAAAAATTAGGCTCGAAAAGTATTCTTCGAGCATTTGGTTATGCTTTTAGCTAAAGCAACGACGTGCTTTTATTTGACAAGAAGGCTTGATTTCAGTTGTGTGTGCATAATTTATTGTTACCAAAGTAGCCTACAAACTGCAATACTGTTCCCAAAAGCAGACTATGTCACTGAAACATGTCGTTTTCCTGCTTTTTCACAAGTGAGCTTTGATATTTTTTTTGGGGGGGGGGGTGGCAATGAGGCACAGCCAGCAGGCGCAACCTCAGTTGAGCTACAGAATTGTTTGATTGATTTGTGGGTGTACCGTCGCAAAACCATCATGTGATTATGAGAGACGCCGTAGGGACGGACTTCGAAAACTTCGACCACCAGGTGTTCTTTACGCGCACTCGAATTCAGCCACAGAAGACTGCTCACTTTGTTGAATCATCCCGGGATAGGCTTAGAACCTTGACTTCTTCATTGCTTGCCGAAATGTAATATTTTCTCTAGCGCAGTTGGCAAGAGGGGGGGGGGGGAATTGAAAGAGTTTAGATCTTTTCCCTCAAACTTAAGTTACGCATCAGTATGCCTGGTGTTCCGAAAAATGTGCCCAAAACCCTATAAAACCAGCAAAATCAGATAGTTCATCGCTACCATCACGAATGCTATTATTTTAAATAACAGGCACATGAGTAAGGTTAAAGACATCGATTCTGGGCGTGATTAGGAGAGATAAGTAATTATTTTGAGTTGAGTTAGACAGCCGGCTATGTCAAGTGAGCGAATTAAAATTTTTATGTAAACAATCCATCGCTGCGTAGAGATAGAAAAAGAGTGCTTCATAGTTAACATCTGGCTCGACAAACTTCAAAGAAATGCACTAGTTACAGCCATTGAATGATGCATGACACGATGCATGTTGGTTCACTAAAAATTCACGTATCTCGACGAAGTCGCTCACGATGGATGGGCGAGGCTAGGTGAGATCGTCCGTAATGTGTACTATAAAGTCAACGACTATTATAAAAGGTTTGTGATTGCAGGTACTTTATATTGGTCCGTCCCAGTTATTAATTATAATTGTCACCTATTAAACTATATTTGTGCCTCATATATGTATAAATTTAATGGAACACCAAAAACAGGTTCTATGCGCTTGGCACCTGAAGGTGGCAGTCCCAACGACTTTCTATATCATTAGAGGGTGTCCGTGCAGGAGAGGACAGAGTCATTTGGTCCTCATGTTATTTTGTAATCTTCCCACTTGCTTCTGATCGTCCGCCGCGCTCAGGGTGAAGAAAAAAAGAGTAGAGAGGGCAATGGCACCTATCTGAGGTCACCTTTTTTTGCTGCGAACGCTCGAGCAAGAGTTCACGGAGCATGTCAACCGGCAGGTACCTAGAGATGGCGACCGCAGTGACGTCAATGCAGAATGTTCCTGCAATAAAACTTTGTGATCGTCTGGCTAATTTTGGCCCCACTATATGGCGTCACCTGTAGGGCTTGTCGAAGCTCACCTGTAGGGCTTGTCGAAGCTCACAGGCTTACGGCTACAATGTTATAGGCCATTGTAACTTTGGTAATCAGGCCTAACAGTGTAATTCCTTTTAGCACTAGCACATTGGCTTATTTTGACTCAACGGCTGGAGTCTTCACAATGCGGATATCGCGATATTCTACAAACGAAGACGAATTTGCGTGAAAAGACCGCAAACGTGAAGCCTAACTTGAGGGTAGTTTACGTTGCCAAAAGGTTTACAGTTCCTAAAGAACCGCACATGCGCAGATTCTGCCGGTATGTGTTGACATGGTAACGTGAAGATTTATGCGTACATGCGAAAAGGCATAAACAAGCTCATCATCTACCCAGCCCGCAGCAGCTGGCTGTGTGTGATTTGATTTTGACTCAGTTTTTGCGTATTTTAAATAATTAGTGGTCTCAGCAAAATGAAGCACCCTTAGCGGTTAGTTGACTCTTATTGGTATTCGAAAACCGCATTTGTTCAATATGGTCGAAGGTGTGCCACACTTCCCTTTTGTGTCGGTTCGCCTCTATAACGTTTGTACCTAACCTCTTCGGGTTGTGGCGCAACTAATACAAACACATTCAACGCTTGAGTAGGGAGACTCGATGACTAAGGCCGATCAAACTATTGGCGCAAACTGAACCATGAGATTTCGGTTCACCCAGGCTAGAGACCTTTAAACCGACGTTGCCTCGGTATGCCTATATCTCCGCTAGTTATAAATCGTAACGTTACACACAGTAAAGGAAGCAGCTCACTGTTTTGGACCTAACTGTACAAAACGCCTTTATGTCGTAATGCAGTCACCTAAAGAGAGAAATGCTTTTTTTCATTTGCACTCTGTCATCTCAATGTAAACGCAGATGAAACTCAGCAGGTACGAGGGTATGCGAGCCGTTTTCTGACACATACTTAGACAACGGACGCATCGGCAATCACGAGTGAAGTTTCCATATGAAGTTGACAAACCACAAATTTTACAAATATTCAAAGTTCACAGCTGATGCTCAAGCAACACCGCACCTCAACTCAAACCTTTCATTCCTTTTCTTGCATCGCTTGAAGCTCATTTAAATCAGGCAGGGTGTTTCCAATCTGCTCGTTTCGCCTCTGCTTTTGGAGCAATCAACACCAGGCCACGCACGCTGGGGCATGTTATCACATGTCCTCCGTAAAACGGAGATGATCAACCAGTTTCAGTGGCAGTGACGGTAAAGCAAAAGCCACACCAGAATATCTATATTATTGCTGCGACCAATGGAAGTATCAGCAGACATAAAAAAAATGGCAGATCCCACATAGAGTGGGAATCGATGATATTCGAAGCACGATTGAGGGAGGTTGATATGTCACACTAAAATTGGCACAAAGTTACTAGGGGTCGTCAATTATGCCGTACATGACTTCCATGTTATGATTATCAATTTTAGGCGTGTTTTTTATCTTCGTCGTCCATTTACGTCGCGTAACCACAAATTTGGTAAATGTGAAGCTAGCGAAAGACCGCTAGCGCATCATAAGCTTGCTATAAGTTGGTATTCTTGAATGACACGCATGTCATGTATATCATGTTTGAACCAGTCATATACGAGTGATCTGGCTTTTTGAATATATCACGTAGACGGAATTCTTTGCGTCATTCACCACAACGTCCGTAAGAAAGCCGGCGAGGCTGTTTTTGGTTCGCTTTGCTTTATCAATAAAAACAACAAATTAGATACACGACTATGATGCTATAGAGAAACAGAATGCGATGCCACACAGAAAAAAACCCCGAAAAGCAAGCGCAAATACTGAGCGTTTGGTACAGATGACTGAGGGGCAGAAAACATGTGAAAATTGGGAAGAGCAGAAGAAAGAAAAAACCAGAACCAAAATGACACTGTTCGTTCTTTTGTTCTTCTCTCCTCGTTTCACGAAATCTTTTTTTTGCGCCTCAGTCGCCTGCACCAGATAAGCACCCACTCGCCAAAAACAAGCCCTTTTGTAATACTGCTTCCTATCTCGAGAGCGTCTCACTGGTGAGTGCTTGAAACTGGTGTGTGGCTCGTCATATACTACAGGTAAAGGATGTGTAACTGTAGGGAATCTTGGCAGGCATTTTGTGAAGAGCAGGGTGACGCTCAAGTTTATGCACCGAAGGAGCAGGTAAGTGTCAAAGACATGGGCAAAGAAGTCAGGCAGTGTTTTCCTCAGGCGCGTGGACGGGACCACCGCCAAGCACTCAGACGTATACGTCACCCATTGGACTTTGTGTCTGCGGTAGCTTCGCCCTGGCTCCGTAGACCACCGAAGCTCGAGGTCAAGAGAAGCAGGCAGCTCCTACTCTTGAGCTCTGCCAGGCGTTCAGGGCAAACAACGCCATGACGCTAACGAACTGCCTCCACATTCCTTCCACACGCATGATTGTGATGAGTGAAGAAAAGGACAACGACGAAAGCGCGAGGCAAGGCGCGTGTAATGTGCGCGTGAATGTCAGCGAATCAGCTGATGACCTGTGGTGGCCCATAGAGGTGGCATGCCACGATTGGGCCACGTGTGACCATTTCGTGGCGGTAAGCTTTGTGGCT